AATGGAGGTTGGGCAGAGTCTATGTGTTGGTTGACTCATGTGATTCCGTCTATGCCGATTAAGGACCATACCGTTGTTGGCCCTTCTGACAAGATTGAACACATGCCTATCACTTAGCTGGCCAGATAACTCGTTCCGACCGCAAAGCCGAGTAGCTCGACTCAGGCTGAGCCCCGCTCTATTAGAGTGCGCACTCTGGATGGTAGTAAGGATGTGTGGGGAGCCAGACGTGAGCCCAAGGGTAGGCCAGGCCTGAACGTCCTGGCAGCTGGTTGTCCCTAATTGTGCGGCGCTGGATGAACCCGTGAAATGTGAACTTGATTTGTACCAAAGGTGACCTAAGGTGACCGTTGATCTGGTCTGCCTAGGTTTGTGTTAGGAATAAATTCCCAGCTGGTTGAAATCGATTCGAATCACCGTCTCTCTCAGATAGTGAGAAACTTGGCTAGCTCCAACATCGTAGTAATTGTGTTATGGAACATGATGGTTCAGATAAACATGTAATTACTACACCGGCTATGGTTACTATTGTATGCTCTTAAATGATATACCACATGTTTGGCATAGGCTAGTTGCTAATCTAGAGATGAATAGTTATAATTAACTTGATGACCAAAGTATAATTGTATAACTGAGTTAATCGCTTTTTATGCAAAATGTTGTCAAGCTACCTCCACTTATAAGGCCTTGCATAATCCTTGGAGTCAGTTTATTTCTGGTTTATGATGGGTAAGTCTAGCTGAGTACCTTCTCGTACTCAGGGTTTTATTCCCATTGTTGCAGATGGTACAGTTTATCATGGCTATTGCAAGCACTGCTTCTGTCCTGACATGGATGAGGAGTGAGCCCTGGGCAAGCATCTTTAATAATCCCTCTTATGTGCTTTTGTGGGAGTGTGATCATGAGTTGGCACTGTATTTGAACTATGTTGGCAAATGCTAGTTTTGAACTTTAATTTGCTTCCGCTACTATCTATCGAACTTGGTTTGTAATAACCTTATTTCGTACTCTGATGAAAGAACTATATCTATAAACTTTATGTAACATGTATGTTGAATCATGTATGATCTTGGTTGTATGGGGATCATTAATCGAGACCCGTCGTGGTACTTGACAGACTACTGGGTTTATATGGGCTCAAGTATGACAGTGCGACCGCTTGCGGGCTGCCATTGTACTTGTGCTCTTATAAATTGGTCGGTTCTGTGATAGTACTCGACCGCGAATGCGATGTCCAGCCGAGTGTGCATGAGGTAGCATAGCCCTCCGATGATGCTTCGGTAGCGTGTCGTGTCCACCTTCGCTGCCATGCTGTGCTTAGACAGCTTCAGCCGCTCCTCCATTGGAGTTGCGTAGGCCTACACTCCGCCATGCCACTGTGCTCCAGCAGCTTCTCTGCATAGTCGCGCTGGCCTAGGGAGATGTGCTCCTTCCCCTGCCTTACCTCAATGCCGAGGTAGTTGGAGAGCGCGCTGAGATCACTCATTTTGAAACGAGCAGCCATCTCACGCTTGAAGCCATCGATGTCCTCCGCCCGCGCTCCATTGACGATCAAGTCATCCACATACACGTTGCCGATGAGCTCCTTCTTCCCCCATCGCCGCATGTACAGCATGTGTTCTGTGGCACAGCGAGTGAACCCAAGCTCACCCAAGGTGGCGTCGAGCTTGGTGTTCCACGCCTGAGGGGCCTGCCGTAGCCTATAGAGCGCCTTGTGCTCAGTGCCCTTGATGGCGAAGCCCGGAGCTTGCTTGATGAAGACCATCTCCACAAGCTCGCCATTGAGGAACATAGACTTGATATCGAGGTGGTGGACGCACCAATCCTTCGCTGTTGCCATGGCCAACAGCAAGCGAACGAACTCCATTCGCACCATCGGAGCAAAGACTTCCTCGAAGTCGATGTCCTCGCGCTGCACGAAGCCACGGGCGACGAGCTGAGACTTGTACTTGACAATGGCGCCGTGTTCGTCCCGCTTCACCTTGTAGACCCACTTCAACATGATCGTCCTGCAACGCACCAGTGGATCCACCAGCTCCCATGTCCCATTGTCCTTGATGGACTTCATCTCTTCCAACATCGCCCGACACCAATTGTCATCGCGTTCAGCCACTGCAAATGTCGGTGGCTCTTCTGCACTAACAAGGAGCAGCTCTGGGTCATCGAGAAAATGACTGTCCAACCCAAGAGCTCCCCCTTCACCGACGATGTTGTCCACCCACCTAAACCGGACCTCCTCACCATCGTGGAAAGCGTCCACGTACTCATCGATGTCGGTGGGTGGAGAGGTGAACTCGATCGGTGGTCCATGGCCTCCCTGTTCTGCTGGAGTGGTCGGCATCGCTGCTGGACCGCTCGGCACCACTGCCAGAGTGGTCGGATCCACTACTGGAGCGGTCGGCACCACTCCTGGAGTGGTTGGCTCCACTGCTGGAGCGCTTGGCACTGCTGTTGAAGTGCTCGGCACCCCCTCTAGAGTGGTCGGCATTGCTACTGTACCGCTTAGCACCACTCCTGGGGTGGTCGACACCTCTTCTCCAGCGTCTCCACCACCGTGGATGACTAAGTGTTCGACGATGAAGGTGCTACTCAAGCTGCCAGCTTCTCCCATGCCTAGACCCTCCTAGTCCCAGGCCACCATCTCATTGGACACCACATTCCTAGAGATCACCACCTTGCCTCTCTTGGGATCATAGAGCCGATACACCTTGGTGCCCTCCTCGTAGCCCAAGAGCACCATCAGCGTGCTCCTGTCTTCCAGCTTGCCGAGGTGAGGCTTGGTATTCTTCACATGGCCGACGCAGCCAAATGTCCTGAGAAAGGACACATTCGGCTTGCGTCCATGCCAAGCCTCGAACGACGTCTTGCCCTTTAGGGCCTTGGTGGGCGCGCAGTTGAGGATGAACACCGCCGTGGTCACCGCCTCTCCCTAGAACATTGTCGGCATGCTTTTGGCCTTCATCATGGATCAAGCCATGCCGACCACCGTCTGGTTTCACTGCTCCACCACGCCATTCTACTGTGGCAAGTACGGCGCGGTGTGGTGTCGCATCACACCTTGATCCACGCAGTACGTAGCGAACTCCACCAAAGTGAATTCACCGCCACGATCAGTCCGCAGCACGCGTAGCTTCTTGCCGCTCTTTGCCTTCGTGCGCATCTTGAACTTCTTGACCGCTTCCACTGCCTCGGTCTTGCTAGTCAAAAGCTGTAGCCACATGAACCGGCTGCAGTCATCCACCAGCAAGATGAAGTACTTGCGCCCACCGTGCGTCGCCAGCGTGATCGGACTGCAGAGGTCACCATGGACCAGCTCGAGGGCCTCTGCCACGTGGTACTTCGTCGTCTTTGGGAACGACAACCTTCTTTGCTTCCCGACCAGGCAGCTATCACACAGCTCGCCTACGTGCTCAATATGAGGCAGCCCAGTCACCATTTTCTCAAGCCGACCAAGAGCGTCAAAGCTAAGATGGCCATACCGGACATGCCACAGCCATGGCTCCTCCGTATGCTGTGCAGCCAAGCAGATGGGCTGCTCCACCTTCAAGTCGAGCAGGTACAGCCGGTTCTAGGACCTCTTCACCTTGGCAAGAAGTCGCTGCTCCCGGTCCCTGATCCTGAGAACACTGTCCTTGATTAGTACTTTCTTCTTCTTCTTCTCCGAAGAAGCGTTGCCGCGACGCTTGCCATCGCCACCGCGGCTGGAGGAGGCTTCCCGAGACTTCTCCTTCATCCGGGTAGCCTACTCCTCCTCTGTCCGCAGCAGCTTGCCGATGTTCATCGTTGCTGTGGCCTGCTCCATGCGCTCATCCATCATCCGTAGACGCCCTGTCACATCCTCAATGGTGAGGGTGGACAAGTCCAACATCGTCTCTATGGAGAGAGCGATCCGGATGTACTTCACCGACACGGAGTGGAGGTACTTGGAGACCGCCTCTTCTTCGTCGATGGTGACACCGTGGCTCCTCAGCTTGCTGATGAGCGACTGCAGGCGGAGGGAGAAGTCCTCCACCGACTCACCATCCTTGAACTTAAGGTTGGCGTACTCTTGCTTCAGCAGCTGGGCCGTCTCCTTCTTTGCACGGTCAGAGCTGACGCACATTGCTGCAATGGCCTCCCACGCCTCCTTAGCAGCCAACGACTTCCTGTACTCCGCTGGCACAACAGCGAGGATAGCCTCCAACGCTGACATGTCGTCTTCTTTGTTGTCGGTGCCCTTGTCAATGGCATTCCACAGCTGTCGGGCTCTGAGCTTGACCTTCATAGTCACCGCCCACTCGCCATAGTTGGTGTGAGTCAGTGTTGACCAACTGGTACCGCTGACCTCCCGTACCGTGCGCACGATGACCTCCTGTCGTGGCTGGGCAGCCACAGCAGCGCCGCTGCTGTTGCCCATCTCCGAACCGTCCGTCATCGCCAACGGTTAGTCCGGCGACAACGCTTGTACGGCTCCGATACCAATGGTTGGTCCCTTGGCTGCCCTACATAGGTAAGCAGTAAGCTTACCAGCACACTCACTCACTATGATTAGAGGTAGAAGAAGATATTGAGAACAGCTCACACACAGCACCAGCCCAGCGCTGGACAAAAGCTCTGCTTCTGGATGTGGCAACTGAACTGCTCTTTTGCATTGCCTTAGGTGTGATATATATATATAAGTGCTAATACCTCTACCAGGTACATAGTTGTTGGTGAGTACACCGACTACCTACTCCTAAGGTACACCAACTACTCCTAATACTACCAGTACAAAGCTTAGATCAGCCCACTACCAAGACATGGCTGATGTAATAGCTATCAACTAATGTACTAGAGGTGGCCTATTGCCATACTGCTACAGCAGTAGAGACTAGACAGCCAAGCTGACCAAATGTCAACTCTGCTACAGCGAGAGAGAGATCAGATTATGTCTTACACTGCTGAATTTGATAAGTTACGGTGTCATTTTTGGGGAACTGATGTTTCACCATCAATCCTTCAGGTGCTCATCATGTGGAAAGGATTCTGCAGCATCTTCAAAAATGGAAGACTTTTACGAGCTGGAGTTGAATATTAAAGGTTTAAATAATTTAGAAGAAAGTCTGAATGACTACTTTAGTGAAGAAGCACTGGATGGGGAAAACCAATACTTTTGTGAGTCATGTCAGAGAAGGGTAGATGCCACTCGCTGCATAAAACTTCGATCACTTCCTCCGGTTGTCAACTTTCAGCTGAAGCGTTATGTATTCCTCCCGAAGGTAATATACCTTGATGCAAAGCTCATCCAGAGTTTTGTTGTAATATGTTCCTTCCACACTTATTAACTCGTGCATTCTTCTCCTTTTCCTTTGTAAAGAATTTTTTCTAACTTTTCTCATTGCCAGACAACAACAAAGAAAAAGATTTCTTCAACGTTCAGTTTCCCAAGACAGCTCGATTTTGGAAAATGGTTGTCAAACCCTTCATCTAGTTGTACTTATGACCTGGCTGCTATTTTAATTCACAAGGGTACTGATGCTAATAGCGGACACTATGTGGCACACATAAAAGATGAAAGCAATGGGCAGTGGTGGGAGTTTGATGATGAGACTGTATCCAAACTTGGTTTGCACCCGTTTGGCAAAAAACCTGGAAAGGCGTCAAATAAAGTTGATCATAAGGCCCAAGGTATCTCCACAGCAGGTTCTCTCACAGATAATAATAACAATGGTCACCAGGAGGCAGCGCCCACTTCTACCAAGGTGGAGATGTTTTCATCTACAGATGCTTTTATGCTGATGTACAAATGTACCACTAAGGATGACAATGCCACAGAAAACAATAAAATTGTGGAAATAAATAATGATTCACTTCCACAGCATCTTCTTGATGAAATTAATGAACTAAATGCATCATATGTGAAATCGTGTGAGGAATACCAAAGCAAGAAGGACAGTCATTTGACATATGTAAACGAGAGGCGTCAAGAAGTAAAATCTGTTCTGACAGAAGCACCTGCTGATCCAGAGGATGATTCATACTTTTGGATCTCAACAGACTGGCTTCGTCAATGGGCAGATAACATTACTCCCCCCTCGTAAGTTTATTCCTGCATAATATTCTCATAATGATGCAGTATATATTAAAATGGTGTTTGTCTCAGTACTTTAGAAGCATATATCATAGGGCCAGCTCATCTACTAAATGAAAATAAAATTAGTATTTAACAGGCGATATTGTTATTTGTATAATTGTATTACAAGCAAAAGTACCTGAACTTTTATCTGACTTCGGCTTCCATCATGATTAATTGATGGAGGTCTTGCGACTACACCACCCATCTCTTAAGTCTGTATTTAATCTCTTGGTCATGTAATGCATCATAAGGTAGCCTGTTTCTTTGGATATGTTTGTTCATGCTTGGAAAGGTCGTGTTCGGTCATGCTTAGTTGTGTGTTGTAGCTAGGGTTGTGGTTGGTCACATGTTGTTAGGGCTGTGCAGGTTCATGGTTTGTTGTGGTTGTTAAGGTTGTGTCCTGGTCGCTGTAAGCCTATAACAACTTTTTTGTTCTTAAACCGGTGTATCGAGAAAAAACAATTCTCTGATTGTGTCTAATATAATTGAGCACATCTTTTTTTTTTCATATTTTCCGTGGCTATATCGAATGGGCTAGTTGCCAACTTTGTTCCAGCTACATTTCTTTTCTCTTAATTAGTTAATTTGGATAAGGTTGTTTTAATATGAGATACATTTTGACCACATTTTTCTGTGTTGTGATAGGATTATGAATCTTTTTGTCAGTACTGAAGGGCCTTTAGTTGCATCTCAGTATGTTTGGGCATTTATCTTATCTTGGGGGCATTTCCCGTGAGAGCAGTTAATGGCTTAACATGCCTATCGAACTAATAGGAACAAGTAATCTTAAACAAACTATTTCTAATGACCAAGGTCATATTTTCTTTTACAAAACATTAACTGTCAACTTAACTTGTCTATATAGAACTAAGGGTTTGTTTGGTGTGGCCAAATTTGCCTTGCCAAAATTTGGCCAGGCCTGACAAATTTGGTGTGTAGTCTGTTCCAATGGTTGCCAAAATTTTGGCAAGCTCCCTTTTCACCATTCAACGCATCTTCTTGCCAGCTTGCCAAAACTTTGCAAGCAAAACCATGATCAAGGTCATAAAGTAATCAATGATCAAGTCAAGAATGAAATGATAATCTAATATTATTTTGTCTCTATAATCCCTTTTGGCATGAGTATCCTTAGTTTGCATTTCAATGTTTGTGATATTGAATGCTATGGGTCGGTGCTTTCTCATGGGGCCAATAATGCTAGGGTTATTTGGATCAGTACCATTGCAATTTTTCAATCTTTGATATACGCCATTACAATTCACCTATTTGAAGATGTGCCATTATAATTTAGCTGTTCCCTCAAATCTGCCATTTTATACGTCTTTTATGATCTTAGGCCCACCTGCAGCACTAGATAATTTTGTACAGACCAAAATACCTTTGTCTCCTTCCTTCTCTCCGTCCTCCTTCAGCACATCTCCAACATGAACGCCATAGAGTCAAGCTTCATCGCCATCCAACCTCCCCCATCCATCCAACAGCACGTTGGCGCGGTGATCGCAAAGGTGTGCTTGTAGCTCGTGCGGGAGGACGTCAACTTGATCCCCTGGCTAGTTCTCATACTCGATTCACCATCATCGACCTCTGCTCCACCCTCCGGAAGATCGAAAACCTGCAGGTCCGGCCGCTCGCTGCCTGCCGTGCTCTCGGCCCGTGTGGTGGTGCCCACACGCGGGCGCACGGTTGCCGCCGGTTCACGTGGCCGAATGCGCACGGGGAGACCATGGTCGGGCCCGCCAGATAATCCGCTTGCCGGCCGCCCGGACGCTGAGCTTGCCAGCGCGAGCGACCCACCCATGCTCGTCAGCCCTCAAGCCACCGACCGCTCGTCCTACTCCTTGCGCCCGCCGGCGCTAGCTCATAGCTGCTGCATGTGCTCCGGATCCACGAATGCAAGGTCGAGGGCAGACGCAGCAATACCCTAGGTGGTCGAGCTCACCACCCCACCGGCTGGCTAGCCGCTCCCGTGTCGCCTCCTCCGGTGGCCATCGCACCTCCACCTCGTCCTCACTGACCTGCTCGCCTCGGCCGACCATCTCAAGGCCTCCACAAGACGGGCTCGCCAAGCGCCATCACGCCGTCATGCGCTCCCTCCCGCACATGCTCGCATGGAGAGGTCCGAGGCTGCCCACACTTCATCATTTATGTGCTGTTGGAGCACTACCAGTGGAGACTGGACGAGGCCATCGTGGAAGTCGCTGGGTCCGAGGACAGCGGCACGACTCAAGAAAGGAGACGGGCGTGCGATGGGGAATAAAGGAGGAAGAACCTGACCTATGGGCCCCCACGTCATTGATAGGCAGTGAGAAGAAGATAGAGGGGGCATTCTGGTCAATACGAAAATACTTTGGCCTGCAAATGGGCTCAACTGTTTCTAAAACGTTCGTGATGGTATGTTTGTGGGAGCAAAAGAATTATAATGACACATCTTCAAATAGGTGAATTGTAGTGGCGTATCTCAAAAGTTAAAAAATTGCAATGGTGCCGATCGAAATTTCTAATCCCTCGTTTTGTAAATGCAGCAAGCAACACGACAGCTCCTCGGCTGTCACAATAGGTGGCATTGAAATAGTATATATATATACACACACACGGTAAGGCTATTCTACAGCTGGCCACAGAATAACTTACTCTATGGCCATCTTGATTTACGATAATGTTTGTACCAATTTACGATAATGACAATACACATTTACGATACATATGTTACTATAATTCAAGATGATACTTACCATAATGCTATAGTAATTCACTTATGAGGAAGTTACCATAATCTCGTAAATTAGTATAGTAATTATCGTAACTCAAATCAAAGTGGCCATAGAATAACTTATTCTGCAGCCAGTTACAGAATAGTAGCTCTCTCTCTCTCTCTCTATATATATATATATATATATATATATATATATATATATATATATATATATATATATAAGTTATTTTGTAGCCAGCTACAGGATAACATGAAAAGGGCAGGCCTGGTGCAAGCGGTAGAGTTTTACCACTTGTGACCGGAAGGTCCTGGATTCAAGTCGCGGTCTCATCGCATTGCACAGGCGAGGATAAGGCTTGCCACTAACATCCTTCTCCAGACCCCGCACAGAGCGGGAACTCTCTGGGTATGCCCTTTTTATATATATTTTGCATGACACTGCAATATTACTTGCTGAATTGTAATTGCTTTTATGTGGCAACTCGTTGGCCTTTTGATATTCCTTGCTGAATTGAAATATAATCTTTTTACAGTTGTTTTTTTCCCCTGCAGTTCCATTGACAATGGTCCAATTCAATGCGAACATGGAAAGGTTCCAGCATCTGAAGTCACATCAATGAAGCGACTATCATCTGTAGCTTGGGAAAAACTATATTCGAAGGTAAGAAACTCAACCTCTTGGTTTCCACTTCATTGAATTTTGTCTTACATTGCTTAAGTTCAATGATTTTCTTTAATTCTGGAGCATGCTGTAGTAGTGTAGTTTTAACATATAATGTTTTGTACTCATTTTCTAATGCCTGTGCCATAATATTGATGAATATTTGCCTTTGGTTTTTATGGCAAAATTAAAGTATGGAGGGGGACCGACATTGAGCAGTGATGATTTTTGTATGGAGTGTCTTAAAGATGGGGCGAAAAATGCAGTATCTGCTGATGTCTACCGTGAACGAAAAGCATCATTAAAAAACCTTGCAGAAGCAGCACTTTCTGGTAATTGTCCAGATGGTCCTTACTTTTATCTCAAGACATGGTACGCAAAATGCATCCTTCTCTTGATTTCTGATCTTTGTTCTATGTGTAAGATAATATTTTGGTGCACTTAGGACTGCCCTCATATACTGCCTGCCTTTATGTGAACTGTGCATCTTATAGCCAGCTGATTCTCTTTTGTGGCAACGTACTATAGTGTCTCAACCATAGTTGTAAATTCCATTCTGATTTGACTTTTGGAATGGAATATCTCGGTACCGGCCTATGCTGGTGTATCGTTCCAGACTTTATTATAAAACATTATGCAAATATCCGTATACATAAACGGTTTGCATATTTATATGCATACATAGTTTGAAGTCATAATCATGCTTCAAATACATGACTTTAGGTCCAAAATAGCACATAGTTCAGCTTGTAGGTTGATCTTATCACAGTGTTGGGCTGGCTGAATTAAGAACGAGGCTTCAGTTTGGACTGGTACCGAAATTCATAGAATGCCAAATGATCAGTATTGACTGGTACTGAGGCCATAATGGGATGAAGGCTCTTCTATGCTGGTTTGGGCACTGGTATGAGAGACATACCGGCCATTCTGGCTGGTACCAGAATGGGATTGATATGTTTTGTGTCAACTGTCATTGTCAATACTAGATTCATATTCATGATCTTACCCTCTGGCTCTATGTTTATATTTTATATCTTAGAGGCTATTTCTCAATGCTGATCATGGTTTTATGCAAATGTAATTATTGTTATTATCTATACTGCTACATTATGTTATGTTTTTCTTGATTGAATTTTTACACCTTAGCCAGTTGTAGTCTTTATGTTTCCTTTACGGTTGTATTTCTTCAACTTTGTGCAAAACAAATTTCACTCTGAATCACCCCTCTTGTGTGCATTCATGCTGCAGTAGCTGATCTTTTTGCTGTTTACTCCTAGGTTGACTCATTGGCTGCGGAGGAAAAATTCTGATATCCCTTCGGATGCGGAGAATGGACCAACAAGTGTTTTAAGATGTTGCCATGGGGATCTTCTGCCGGAGCATGCTCCAGGAGCAAAGCGAGTATCCGTACCAGAGAACCTCTGGTTATTTCTCTATGAAACAATGAACGAGAAAAAGGCTGATGATATTGTGACTTCTCCATCAGATTGTCAACCATGTGAAATTTGCAGTCAGGAATTGTCTGATGTTGCTTCTGTGGAGGGTAATCTTAGGTAATATAAAGTCAGAAAATCAGTCTTAGATATTGGATTATTCGCTGAAGTATTTATATGCCTAATATGCATTTTCTTATACATGGTGTATGACTTCCAGATCAGTGAAAGTAAAGCAACGACAGAAACATGAAAAGTTGGCATCTGGGAAAAGCTTAACACTTCATCCTGGTTAAAAGTATTTTTTCCTTCATCATGGTTGTCAGAATGGAGAGCTTATATTACAGCCACCGGGAAAAACATTTCTTCGTTACCAGAACCTCATAGTTTGGAAGTTGTTGTCGGTTCACTTATATGTGAAAAGGTAAACTAGTGTGTCACATGCTGATATGTGTCCGGTTTTGTAAACCTATATGGTAATAAAACAGTGGAACTCAAATATTTGAATTTGAGAGTTCAGGCAAGTGAGCCTTTCTATCGAGAACAAATGGTAAACCCATAGAATTTCAAAGATGCCCTTGTCAGAACTTCTATACCCAAGTCATTGTCAGAACTTCTATACCCAAGTCATGAGGTTATCTTTAGTAATGTTTGCAATCTACTTCTGAATAGATAATAACTTGCTAGAGAGCAGGGTTGTAATAAAACCTGAATTCTGGCAAAGTACAGTTTTGCATATAACAAGATGCATTGTATTTTAATTCTTAGTAGTGTCTTATACTTCATCAATTCGTTTAGTCAAACCCAAATAAAGACTCCTGTGTCATCTGTATTGTGAGTATAATGCACAAATTTTACATTGGTTATTGTGTATTTTTGTCTTGATTAGACATTTGTGTTTCTGTTGATTGTGATCGGCTGTAGTAATTTGTTTATTAATTCTAGTTGTTGGGTGTATAAAGTGCTTTCATGTTGAACATGAGGATTGATAATTTTCAGCATTCAAGATTGCTGCAAAGGCCTTTGGATCTTGTATGTAAGCGTGGGAGCATCACTCAGAAAATGTCAACTGTAAGTCCGTGGTCTTTACAAAATTTCCTTACTAATGCTTGGCTGCGGCTTTAAAAAATATAGAGAAGGGGGGGGTTAAATAAAGTGATTTTTAAATCGTGCTTGGTCCATCTTTAAGCGGTGGAAACCAAGTATGTATCCTGCCACCTCTGAAACACTGACAATGCACACAGTGACAAAAAGTGTAGTATAATTAGGGGCTGCAAATGCAACCCCGGCCCCCACACAAAAAAAAAAAAAAAAAAAGAAAAACAGTGATTTTGACTACAATTCTATCATATATGCACCTTTTATGACACAGTCTATGCACCCATAATGTAGGTGCACTCCCTTTTAATTTGCTCTAGCTTCGCCACTAAATGCACACAAAAGGCATATTAGTTCCTGTTTGGATGCAAGGTATTTTTATAGTATCAGGGATTACTTGGTTTCATTAGAATACATGTTGCAGAAAATCCACTCCCACCCTCTTTTTTTTCTAAAATGAAGCCTTGTCTCTCTTGTGCTTCCATCTGATCTCCAATATTCATTCAGCTGGAAGCCTGGAATGATAGTGATACGGATGTATGTCCATTCTTGTGATAATTTACTAATTAGCTTTGGATGGGATCTTGATATTTTTATGATGTTCTGATAGTATGTCCATACATATATATCAAACAAAAGTATCTTGATATTTTATCATTATTTTATTTCAAATATTTTATCATTGGTTATCAAGCCAGGCCTTCCACACATAACTATCATTCAATTTTATTTGGAAAAAACATGGCTAAAGTGAAATAGTTAGACAAACACTGAATAGTAATGGACCTAGCAGAATTTTTTTGATATGGCATCATGAACTTACATACCGTGACTACCAAATACATCGTTGCTTTCACAATACTGCAAAATACTGTGGTACTCTCAACCGTGGAATTTTATGCATGGTGTTTTAAAAACTGTAGTTTTCAAAAACCCTAGCATCCAAACAGGCCCTTCGGTATGAAATGTGAGGTTCTTGCTGTAAGATTAGGAATGAGGAATAGTAGATTGATTATAGGAGATATGTTGTTACACATTTATAGGCAGGATGGCTGAAGGTTTATAGCAACAGAACCAATCAATGAAGATCCTTGCCTAACAGAAATCAATCTATCTACCTAGCCATATAGGCACTAGGCCCAAATAGAGATGTGCAGGCCCAACAAGAGAGGAGTGGAGGGAGGAGTAGGGTTGGCCAGCATGGCGGCGACCAGAGGAGAAGACAACGTAGCTCGGTGGCGCGCCTAGGCAGCGGAAGAAGGGCCGGGAGAAACCCAGGCGAATGATATCATGTAAGATTAGGCACGAGGAATAGTAGATTGATTATAGGAGAGATGGTGTTACACATATATAGACAAGGATGGTTGAGGGTTTATAGAAACAGAACCAATCAACGGAGATCCTTGCCTAATAGAGATCAATCTATCTTTCCTAGACATATACTCCCTCCATGTCCTAAAAAATGTCGTTTTGGACGTCGACACGGTCCAAAAAAATAACTTTGACCACTACTTTTTGCTATAAAATATTTATAGAATATAATCAATATCTACTTTTATAAAACTATATTTCAAGATGAATCTACTTACATCACTTTCATATTTTCAAACTCAACCCAAAATAATTTATTGATAATCAAAATTTAAAATATTTGACTTAAGACAATCTCAAAACAACTTTCTTTAGAAATATAGAGGGAGTAGGCACAAGGCCCAAATAGAGACGTGCAGGCCCAACATGGGGCTGCCGCACCCTCCGTCTAAGGATGGCAACGGGTCGGGTTCGGATCGGGTGGAGTCTCCGTGCACCCAAAACCGAAACCCGAAATTGAAACCCGAATCCACCCCGAAAACCGATTCGGGTGGAAATCCATCACCAAAACCAAACCCGCGGATACCCGAAACCCGAACGGATACCCGAAACCCGAATGGATACCCGAAACCCGCGTACATATATACACATATTCACATGTATAAACAAGAGGCAACAAATAATAAATATTTTTATGAGTCAACTTTAAATAAATTTAATAATCTAAGTAAACAAATTATTATTAGTATATTATAAAACATGAGTTTTAATTCCAAATGATTTATTTCGGATATCCATTGGATATCCACGGGTGGAAAACCAAACCCGAAACCGAACCCGATTGGTTTCGGGGCCCCGAACCCAAAAACCGTGGGTGAAAAACCATCCCCAAACCCGAACCCGCAGAACCCGAAACCCACGGATATCCGCCCCAAACCCGATCCACTGCCATCCTTACCTCCGTCTAACGCTTGCTGTCTTGAATTATGCTTTTACTTCTTTCTATTGTTCTTGCATCGTGAGCAGCCTCCTTGCCTTGCCCTTCTTGCCGCGCCTCGCCTCGCCCGGCAAGGAGAGGCGAAGCTCTAAATGCCCCTCAATTTGGTTCCTTTTCCTCCTTTCCTTGATGCGCTCTTGCATGCTTTCCTTGCCAGATGCTGAGCCTGAGCATCTTGGGCTACAATGCTTGCCTTCGTCAAGGCTGGCCTCTCCAGTCTCCATATGCTTCTACGCTGATTCTCATCGCTTCCCTCTCCATCCGTGGTTGAGCCCAAGCTATAACGGTTTCCTTTTTCAAGGCCGGCCGCTAGCAGCGAGCTCACTTCTTTAGTGACAAGGAGCCCAATTCTTACCAGAGGGTGTTGATTTGGGCTTTGAGAAGCTTGATTCGTTGCTTAGGAGCATCTATTTGGGTGGCAAGGACTCAATTCGGCGGATGCTATGTTTGGAAGAGGAGCTCCATCGTGCGCAAGCATATCTTTTGCCCATGTGGGATAGTTGATTTAGCTCTCCGGCATGGGCATGGATATCCTTGCTCACCCGTGCGAGTTTGTTGGGTGAAGCAAGCTTTTAGTGTGCTATCAAACACATAAGCTTTGCCTGGTGAGGCAAAAATGCTGGACAAAACTACCAAACACGTCCTAACTGCCTAGTCAATTTGGGTTTTTTTGTTTGCTACTACAGTTGCCATGGATGACAAAAACAAATAATTAGAATATCTCAAGTTAATCATCTTCTTTTGTTTTCAGACTGATGGGTTAACAGTAATGTCGGTGTTTCGAGTTACCATCGACTAGTAAATTTCTAATATTGCAGTCTGGCTCGGATGGTGCGCTAAGAGGACATGAGGTTTATACTGGTTCGGGCAGAATGTCCTTACGTCCAGTTCGTTGCTGTTGCTCGTGTTACTAGCACTGAAAGTTCATAGTAGGGGTTACAAACGATCGAGAGAGGGACATGTCCCAAGTCTCTGGTAAGAGGAGTGAACGAGTGCCGAGAGCTCGGTCGCTTCCCGGCTGTGTGCTCGTGTGTTCTGGTCGATTCGGGGTTCGATGGATTCGAGTCCCAATTGATGTGATATGTTGCGATGATTCTTATGCGATGCCCTGCTTTCCCTTTTATAGGCTAAGGGAAAGCATGGATTACAGTGGAGGGAAAAGAGGAGAATGAGAAGGAGAAGAAGTCCACCAGGATCGCCGGGTCCTTCTTTTCCTTCATGCGGGTCCCGCCGACCCTGTAGACGTCAACCGGGCCAGCTCCACGTCGCAGCTCTGTCCGTCATTGGCGCCATGTGCAGGCGTCGTCTCCCTGTCGTAGCGCTCCATGTCATAGAACCGTCCAATTTATAAGAGCACAAGTACAATAGCAATCACCGAAGCGATCAAGCCGTCATACTTGAGCCCATATAAATCCGGTAGTCCGATGAAATCGCGAAGGATCTCAAACAACCAACATACAAACCAAGATCGTAGACATTCAATATAACCAGTCACATGTTACATCACAGTTCACAAATAGTTCTCATACATCGGAGTTCAAATAATTATTACAAACCAAGTTTGAAAGTAGCGGAAGCAAAGTAGTTTGACCTCAACATCACACATAGTTTAATACAAAGTCAGTTTCATAGTCATCTCCAACCAAAAGCACAAGGGTGAGATGATAAATAGGATGACCATTGCCCATGGTCCTAGTCCTCATCCACTGCAGGAGCAA